CTTCAGGAGGACACGCCTGACCTACAGCTAGCCGATCAGCTAGCAAGCAAGTCAATCGTTGACCCTCCAGAGATCCCACCCGGCACGGGGCCCGCAGGGGGGGACCGCCGTGATCATTGAGCCCGCGGGGCGGGGGGTCGAGGCCGGCCCGCAGGGGGAAATTCGCACGCAGAGTAAATGGTTTACGCCGCACCGAGAGGTAGGTTATCGGGAGAACTGTTTGTTTCACAAGCTTTGGCAACACTCCTTGCAAGTATTGACGCTTCGTGTATTATTGGCGCCTGCATCCTGTCTCGAGCCTTCTGATGTTCATTGACCGTTGCCCATTCTTCGGAGCCCAAAACGCCACAGGGCCCGCAGGGGGCCCACGGTGCTGAGCCCGCAGAGCGGGAGCCACCCCGCAGGAGAAGCCTCGCACGCAGGTTCGTTGGCATACGCCGCACCGGTTTTACGATAGGGTTGGTTCTCCGGGGGCATCTGTTCCACAAGCTTTGGCAACAATCGCTGCAGTTCTTGACGCTTCGTATATCCCCGACAGCCCATCCAGAAACAATGCCCATGAGAGTTGCCTGGAGGAGGGGCGTAGGGGTGCCAACAGTTGTGAGGCTAGAGATTTCGGGGAGGCATCTTGAGCGGCCTCGACTTAACAAGAGGGTCCAGGAAATGAAGGGATCCCCCCATTCGGGGGCCGAAAATTTGCTTCTTGGCAGGCTCTTGGGGCCAGCTGGGGGCTCCACTGGGTTGTTCGTGGAGCTATATCAGGCCATCTGGAGGTCATTGAGAGGCCTCAGAGGCCCATCGGAAGCGAAACGGCGAGAAGGCAAGAGACTGTGATGTGCCGCAGGCTGTTGAAGGAGTTTGGCCTCCTGGGGCGGTCCGAGAGCACTCGGAGCCGTCTTGGAGCCGTCTTGAGCCATCTGGGGCCGCCACCCGGCCTCCAAACGCTATAGGGTGATGCGGGGGGGCCGCCGTGACTCGCACTCGGTGCCCCCCGTGGGATCATGATTTGAACTGCCTCTGCTTGACGCTCTGCGCATCCCCACCAGCCGATCCAGAGACGATGCCCTGGCGAGCCGTCGGCAGGAGGGAGACCTAAGGAGGACGAGGACTGAGGCGGAGACGAGGACCAGGAGGAGGGGACAGAGGACGAGGAGGAGGAGGAGGAGGAGGACGAGCAGGAGGAGGAGGACAACGACGACAACGAAAAGGACGAAAACGATGACGAAGAGGAGAACTAGGACGAGGACGAGGAGGAAGAGGACGAGGGGGCGGACGAGGAGAAAGGAGGACGAGGACGAGGAAGACGAGGAGGTGGAGGAGGAAGAGGACGACTCTGGCAGCCATCTCGTATTGTTCTGGAGGCCCGCTTGGGGCCCTGTCGGGGCTGTGAAGGTTATGCGAGTACTCTTGGGGCTCTTTCACAAAGGTTCTGGAACGCCATCTTGGCGGCTTCTTGGGAGCCCTGAATGGCACATTGGGGCCATTCTGGAGAGCGTCGATCGAAAGAGAGGGGGTCCTCGATCCCTCCCCCCGCTTGGGCCATCAAAGCCGCCTCTTCGGCGCCCTCTAGGGGCGCTCTTGGGGCCGTCTCGAAGACCGATTGGGCCTCTCTTGGGGCTTTGCTGGGCCATCCGGATGCCATCTCGAGACTGCAAAAGCCAATTGGAAGCGACAATGCGAGAAGGCTAGAATCACGGATCGCCATCTGGTGTTTAAGGGATGCTTGTTTGTTTGGGATGTTCTTTAGCGAGTTTCCGAGCGCATTTGGAACAGTCTTGTAGTTGTGTTTGGGGCCTCTTGGGGGAGCCCATACACCGTAGATTCGTTAACGGTGCGTTAGCCAATGGCGATGTCGGAGAACCAATTGTAGAAAAGCGTAGTTCGTGGCCAAACCAATTGTAAGAACGCGTGGTTCGTGTTTGCGTAAACTCGCTGTGTCTGTTTCGTTTGATACATCTGCGTATTTGAAATGTGGGAAACGGTGTTTCGTGTTCTCCTACATGTTATGTTGCGTGAGCTCGATACCACAAACAACAAACGATTCCCAACCGCACCGTTAAGCAAGCACGCGGTTAGCGCGGCATTGGATACAGCACGAAGCGTTTGAGAGTACGACGAATTGAGGATTCCTTGGGCCGTCTGGAGGGGTAGCTCAGAGCCCCTAAGACACACAGGGGCACGAAGTGCGTGGCATGTGTGTGTGCGCGGTACATTGAATCACAAATCACAGGGCGCGAGCCAAGCGGTGTTTGGACGATCTCGTGGACCGTTTTCGTTGTGATATCGTTTCGCAGCAGGGGCGGAACGAAGGCAGAAAGATGGACAGCGCAAGCAGCACGAACACGGGCAAGTGCCTCTTGGCTCGCGCCCTGGAGCGGGGCGTGCCGACGTGAAGCGTCCTTAGCGCCACCTTGAGCGCTGGGCGATCGCCGCACGGGGGGGCCCCAGGGGCACGAAGCGCGTGAGGGGCGTGCCAAGTCGTCTTTTGGGGCCTCGTGGGGCCTCTAGGGGGCCTCTAGGGGGCCTCTTGGGCTCGAATTGTCGGTTCGTGTTCCCCCCCTTGGGCAGCAGTCCCTGGAGCCGCCGATGGGTGGCCAGCTCTCAGCGCCTCTGGAGGCCCCGTGGGGGGCACGAGGTGCCCGAGGTTCGCGTGCCTCGGCGGCGAGCCCCGGGAGGGCATGCAGACGCGGGGGGGCCTGCTCGGAAGGCACGGAAGGCTTCCGGCCATCTGAGAAGTTTTCGAAGCCTCCTCCTCCTCCTCCTCCTCCTCCTCCTCCTCCTCCTCCTCCTCCTCCTCCTCCTCCGCCCCCTCCTCCCACTCCCATCCTCCTCCGCCTCCCCTCCTCCTCCTCCTCCTCCTCCTCCGCCTCCTCCTCCTCCTCCTCCTTCTCCTCCTCCTGAGAAGATTGGCCCCCTCTCAGTTCTCCCCTGTGCTGGCCGCTAAGTGCCGAAATAGGACTCCCTGGCGTCGAGAGGGGTGTGCCGGCCAGCTCAGCGCCTCTAAAGGTCAACGGCACGGAGTGTATGAGAGGGGTGCGCCGAATCGAGGCCCTCGTCGCCCTAGGAGCGCATATCCATATTGGAGCCGACTGGGGGTCTGAGGTGGCCCAGCATTGGTCCTGGCCAGCAGGAAAGGGGGACAGGTGTTAGATTCTGGGTTTGGGCAGGTGGTTTGCCTTTTTCGGCCTTGGGAGGCCGTCTTTGGAACCCACGACCGTCAAAAGCGGATCTGGAGTGAAAAGTGCCCCAGGCGGACCCCAGGAAGGCATTTGGGGTCCGATTTTGCACGGAGTTGGCCTCCTGGCCGATCCCCCTCCCCCTCCTCCTCCTCCCCCTCCTCCTCCTCCTCCTCCTCCTCCTCCTCCTCCTCCTCCTCCTCTCCTCGTCCTCCTCCTCCTCCCTCCTCCTCTCTCCTCCTCCTCCCTCCTCCTCCGCCTCCTCCTCCGCCTCCTCCTCCTCATCCTCCTCCTCCGCACCCTCCTCCGCCTCCTCCTCCGCCTCCTCCGCCTCCTCCTCCTCATCGTCGGCCTCCTCCTCTGCGGTGTTGGACAACCGCTAGACTGCGGGCTGGACTGCTACACGTCGTTCATTTCTAATCGTGCTCGTTTCTAATTGTGCTCGTTTCTAATTGTTCCTGACCCCCTAGTGGCCAGGAAAAGGCCCAGGATAGAACAATTAGAAATGAAAGGATCTTGGCCCCCAAAAAATCAAATTTCGAGGAATTAGAAAAAAAACAATGTGTAGCTGCTGGAGGCTGACTGCTAGCAAGGGGTGCCGTCCGCGGGCTCCGCTGGCTGACTCCGTGGACTTTTCTGGGGCGCGAGCACACATCTTATGGACTTTGGAGGCGGCCAGGAGGTCTGGAGTGGTTGGGACCCCAGCAAATCGGCCAGGAGGTGGAAGAGGAGGAGGAGGAGGAGGAGGAGGAGGAGGGTGAGGGTGAGGGTGAGGAGGAGGAGGAGGAGGAGGAGGAGGAGGAGGAGGAGGAGGAGGAGGAGGATCGGCCAGGAGGCCAAATCCGTGCAGAATCGGTCCCCAGATACCTCCCCAGGGTCCGCCTGGGGGAGGAGGTGGAGGAGGAGGAGGCGGAGGAGGAGGAGGCGCTGTGCGCACTCTGCCGACCCATATTGCATCGCCGTGGCCATCTGCTCGCGTGCCCGTGGCAACTTCAAAGCTGTCAGGCGGTGGCAGGTTCCCCGAAGAGTCGTATGAAGATCGCGCTGGAGAGGAGCAGTCGCTGTGTGGAGAGAGGCACTCAACGGAACACACCCCCTTCTCGAGAGTCACAATCGACGCCCGATGCCGCAAGAAGGAACCGAACACGAAATATAAACAGCCGGTTCTGCATTAATGATATCGAACTGCTTGTGCACATCGACGGCGGGACCCAGGCGAACTCGTGCTCCGCTGCCGCATGCTGTTCAGCGGGCGTGGCTGGCAGTAACCGTCTCCCTATAGCCATGGCCATTGCGTTTATGCAGGACCCTTCTTCGTCATTTTAAGCGCAGGCCCGAGGCCATCGAGAACGTGGCGCGCTCGGTTGCCTCAGGCATTGCTGACCTAAGCTCCGGCGAAAGAATACGAAGAGATGTGCACGGCGTATTGGAAACATGTTAATCCCCTGACGATAACGGGCGTCAACGGAGGGCAGGGGGCCAGTGAACGTCACGATTCGCGCCAGCGCCGATGGGAATGCCTGGGAATGGCTAGACATGATCAAGGAATGCCAGACGGCGCAGGCGCGAACCGTGACGTTACCAGGTCGGGTGTTGCTAGAAGTGCCCTTGGCCCAAGGTGCCCCAGGATTTCCAAGGAGGCCCACACGACCACGAGAGGCCCAGAGGGCCCCAGGGGCCGCAAATCGAAGCGAAAAGCTGGGGGCACCTCGGGCCAGGGGCATGTCTAGCAACACCCACCAGGTTGGTGCGGGGCCGGTAACGGGCGTTCTCGCGAACATTCCTGGTGGCACCACCCTGGCACCCTTCCCGCGTGGCGACCAGGGCCCGCCGGAGTTCTCCGCCACCGCCGCCGAGTTCTCGCCGGTGAGGGGTGGGGGGGCGGTCGGAGGAGGAGGGTGGAGGAGAGGAAGGAGGAAGAAGGGTGGGAGTGAGGAAAAGGAGAGAGGAGGAGAGGAGGAGGAGGAGGAGGAGGAGGAGGAGGAGGGGAGGAGGAGGAGGAGGAGGAGGAGGAGGAGGAGGAGGAGGAGGGGGGGGGGGGAGGGGGGGGGAGGGAGGGAGGGAGGGAGGGAGGGAGGGAGAGGAAGGAGGAATTTGAATTGCGACCTGATTCGCCACAGACAGCGGTCAGATGGTGACGGCACTCAGCTGGCTTCATACAAACGAGCATTCGAAAGCATTAAAGCACGGGCGCCAAGGAGAGTACATATTCACGGCCCATCCACCCCAGAAGTCCTCCCCCCGAGCAATCCCTCCCCCTAGGCACGACCAGGCTCCGACCCCAAACGGGCGAAGTACATGTCAAGTCTACTCCAATCCCACCCAGCCTCTGTCCCACCCCCGACAGCAACTCTTGCCGAAACAGGCGCAGCCATTAACGGTGCACGAGTGGGGGATGAGTGAGGGGAACATATAAGAGCAGGGGAGATAGCAGGGGAAAAGGACATCGCCTCTCAGCGAGTCCGCTGCGGGCACCATCGTGCCAGAAAGCATGGCGGGGCACGCTATTCGCACTCTCGGCCAAGCCGCCAGCACGTGAGCACCAGCACGTGACACGCACCACAAAATGCAAAGAGACGGTCCTGACAAACGAACTCCACGATGTCCGCAAGCAGTGGGCGGGCAAAGTAGCGACAGCGAGAGGCAGCAACCCTTCCCTTCTACCCCTTCATTGCAGCAACCCCCCGACCCTGCTACCCCTTCTCTGCCGCTCGCCGCGCGCGTGGAAGGGTGCGGAGGTGGAGGCGGAAGGGGAATACATGAAAGTGAAACCCCATGGACCCGAGGGGATACACGCTCCGTCGCATTTAAGCCATCGTGGGCATCCGTATGGGCTCTACGGGTCTACCCCCTCGGGAAATAATATGCATTGACGGGCAGCGTGGCGTTCGCCTCTCCGCTTGTCCTCTGCGGACACCACATCACCAGTTCAGCATGGCGGGGCACGCTATTCGTACTCTCGGCCCGCGGCCAGCTCGTGGGGTCAAGCATATGACATCATGAGGCAAAGCAGCCGCCCACCCTCCTACCCCATCATTGCTATGTGCAAGAAAGGGCACGCAATGCTGCAACCCAACTCTGCTACCCCGTGACTGCGACTCACAACACGCATGAGAGGAGCAGGGTGAGAAGGGAAGGTAAAGGAGGGGGGAGGGGGAGACTGAGGCATACTGAGCACACCTGGCATCGACCTACCCCCTTTACTAGGCCTAGTCGAACAGGTAAAATCTGTAATTTGGATCCGTGGTCCATGGTGCAACAACACGCAGCCTGGCCTCACGGTCAGCCTCTATCTTCGCCTTTCGCCGTCTACGGGCCTCTTGCCTATTCACCCTGATACGCTGCAGTTGACTCTCTGACAGTGTGGCAGGAGTCAGCGGTGCTGGCCCTCGGCTCTGCTCATCCGAAAACTCCATCGCGACAACCTATTCCTCCTCACACCAGGCTGCCTGACCTCCCTCCTCCTCGGCCTCCGCTTCCTCAGCCACTGGGGACTGGGAAGCGACGGGTTCCGTCGTTGCCTCCTGTGGTGCAGGCACTGGCAGGAACCTCTCCATCTCTGGGTCAGGACGGGCGCGCTTTGGGGCTCTGGACACAAACTCTGGGGCCCACGACTCCTCTGTGCCCGCGTACGGATCCCAAGCAACCCAGAACTGTAGCAGCTCCTGGCGCGTCGCTTCCTCATCGCACATATCACACGGGAACTCGTCATCATGTGATCCAGACTCGTCGAACATCGCACTGATAGTAGTGGCGATGCAGTCCGCGATACATCGGCATAACCCAGTCGGATACGTTTTTGTTCTGGGCCGTTCGCCAAGCTCGCGACTTCCGATCGTATCCTAGCAAGGTCTGATGTCCACCCCTCCCGTGCGAGCACCTTCCCCGCCCAGGCGTGTTGAGGAGTGCTGCGTGTAGCCCTGGCATCCTCAGGGCTAGTATACGTGTCGGGGCACGTGAACTCTGTCCGTGCTCACATTGGTCGAAGTCCGTGGTAGTTACAGCGGGCGACGACTCTAGTGCGCGGAGAGGGTGCCATTTGAAAGAACTGACTGCCTGTAGCCTCCACCCGCAAGGCTGTGGGTGCTCCATCCAGCAGGAGGTACCCACCTCTAAATGCACTGCAGACAGTTCCACCATGGCTTGGAGCAGCGCATTACTTACCCACAACTGTTCCATTTGCCGTGGTGTCACGTTGGATGTTCCCCAGAAGGCGTCGTGTGTACGTAAAGGGGGTGGCCCAGGGCCGTCGGACCGTCGCGACGCAGACCACGTCTCACATGGGGGGGCCCCCTCCAGACAAAACCACACGCCGATCTCGAATATGCCGCTTCCACGTCTCGAGGGTATTTATATTCATCATATCACCTAACGTCGCGTGGATCGCAATATCTACCGACAGCACATGAATACAGTAATTAGCCTCATGGTGGGGCCAATCTAGATGTGCTTGAATGTCTCCAGCCCTCCGACGCCCGCAATATACATTCAACACGAAGTACTCAGTGCGCCGTACATGTATGGGGACGGACACCGCAGCAATCCCTGTGTACTGCTCTGTCAAGAACAACCGACTTGGGTAGCGCTCTGTGCTGAACTGAACATCCGCGGCAGGCGGCGGCGGCGGAGCAGCAGCATCGACGTCAAAACGTCTGTTCGGCATCAGGGCGGCAGCCGCATCCTCAGACAAGACTGGGCCCGACTCAAGCAATGCAATACGGGCATCATCCTGACACATCTCACCATGCACCGTCGACGCATACTGTGGTAGAGGCCCCTCTGCACACACCGTAGGGACTATCACACGGCGTCTCCCAATAGGTATGCCCGGGACCCTCCCTATCGCAGGCGCCCCAAAGTCGGGGTAGTGGATATGGTCGCATGGCGCGGCACCCGATACCGTCACACACGGGTCTGATATAGCACACGTGGGGTCACTGTACAAGATATACAAACATCTTGGTGAATCCGACGCCACATGGTCCACCAGGTGCATGCGATTGTTGAACGTAGCAAGACGCGCACAGCATTGGCCGTTTGGCGCCGCCCACACTCGTGCGAGCGCTGCCTGCTGTGTATGCTGTCGAGCAATATGCGCACGCCAGGACGATTTCTTGCGAAAACCGGTTTGACACCACGGACACATGTGCTCATCACTTGTGGCGGGGACGGTCGTGTCTGGGGGCGGGTCGACAAGCAACCCGTTGACGTCGGTATACACACGCTCGGGGACGCCGATCGGTCGGACCGTGTGAAAGAAACGGGATTCCACGTCCTCGGCTGTCGTAGCTCGACGATGGGCCTGCGCAGAGGCCTTCAGGGCTGTCCGAATGATATATCCGTCGTACAAGATTCTCCCATGGACCAAAATCCTCACTGGGCGGCGGCAGCTCGGCACAGACGACAGCAGTAACGCGAAGCCATTCGCAATCGTTCAGCACGAGGCCGATCCACGACCTGGCGCGCGTGCCGCAATGTTCTCGCGCTGCCCATTCAGCACCCAACAGTGCAAATGCAAGCCTCTGCCCGCTGTGCAACAATGAGCCGAGTAGTCTCAACCTGGCTGCTCGACGTAGCTCAGACGGCTCAGGACGACCTAAGATGGCTCGAACCTGCGCGTCGGACACGCACGAGTCTGTCTCAACGAAACGGACCCTGGCTGCTGCACGAAAAACCTTCATAGTTTCGGAATCAGCCAACTTGGCCTCGGCGGCCGCGAGGGCGGCCCACGCTCCTGCATTGTACAACCGTCCTGACATGACCAAACTGTCGGCAAGAGCAAGACACGTGGGGTCCAGAATGTCCCTGGAAGTAAACACTTTGGTCCTGAGTACCCTAAGTGACGCCACCGTAGTATGTGACCTCTACCGTATTTCGGCAGCCATACCCCCCAATGAGTCTATGACCGAACCCAAGTGCAGATAGTTTTCAACCACTGGTATCCGCATCCTCCCAAGAAGCCGTGTATCCGCCGTCACATGACCACCACATTCGTGCCATACATACTGCCTTGCTTTCTTGGCCCCACGCCCCCGCATCGATAGTAGTACGGCCGTTTTTGTAACACCAATGTTAAGCATGTGCCCGCGGCTGGCAAACACATCGGCAACCGCTCCCACAGCTCGACACATGGCGGGATACAGCTCGCCCGCAGACATGCTCATCATGATAGTACCATCGTCCGCAAACGCTATGTCTGACAACACTTCAGAGGTATCCGCTTTCTGCCCGCGGAGTATGCTGCACATGCTGCTGCAACCGTGCGCTGGTAGATGGATTGCAAGACCCTCGGCATCCAGTTGTCGTCGCACGTCGCCCATGCAGTCCCCCATCAATATCTCGTAAAGTACATCTGCCAAGGGCTGCCCAGGGAATACTGACCGCTGAGGCAAGGATACCTGTTGCGAGCCTTCACATACAAACCACGGCGTACGATAGCAGTCAACCTGCGCCGCTGTGTGGGCTGGTAACGTACCTTTGCCAACGTACTCATCAATAAGCGGTGCGCTCTCATGTAATCTTCGGGCGAGCTCATGCATGGCATCTGGTGGCAACCCTGCTGCACGCACAATGCAAGCAATAGAGTCATCGCCAAGCGGCGAGCTGAGCAGGGTCTTCCTCAGGGTCCGGTAGAAAGCCTGCACCACATCAAGAAATAACGCTCCAAACGAACGTTTCTGTGCAGCTGCCACTGACTGTGCTAACCTGAGTATAAGCGACGCCTGCGCTGTTCCACGTCCAGGAATGCCTCCACACTGTGTGGGGCCGGCTGCTTCTAATAGGGTAGGTAACGATCTATTTCGCAGACACCTACGAGACGCCTTGCCAATCTGGGACGACACCAAGATCGAACGAGAACTTACACA